CTCTCTCCCCCGCCCCCCCTCTCTATCTTTCAATATCTGAGACTAACACAATCGATCAAAGAGGATCATCTTTGGACGCCAGCATGGAATGGACACGGAGAAATTAGAAAAGGCGCTGAAATGAATAGCAGTCAAGGGAATAACATGTATATCCTTTTATATATTTAGAGCAAGTCTGAAACAAAAACTGCTGAATACAAACCAGAAAAACAAGCATACTTTTTAAATGTAGACCGTTTTAAAAGGATAGAAAGTCGATGTTTTGACATTCAGGTTGTTGTTTTGGTCGCGTTCTTTATATTCGATTTTTGTTTTGTCTTTGTTTTTTATGGTTTTGGGAACGGGGGGAGGGGTGTACTCTTTGTGTTCTTTCATAACCCTCCTTATCTCTTTTAAAAAGGGTACTTACTTTTTTGTGAGCAGGTCTTTTGCGTTGTTGATGTGCTCCGTGGTCATTTCGTCGAAAGCTTGCAGTTCAATGGCTTCTGTGCGGTCTCGGAGAACTGAGAAGTCTATCAGCCGTAGGTCGCTGAATGAAATAAACGCAAGCTTTTTTTTAAAATTGTGGCTTCAACGACCATTTTGACAATGACAATTATGTCTTTAGAAATGACTATACATTGTTAATATAGTCAGGAAAGAGAACAATTGTGCAATAAAATGAAAACAAGGCGAAAAGTAGAGAGATGAATAAAACAACAACAACGGCATACCAAAGACTAAACCACCATATGCAAGAACTCAAGCAAAACACACGGGAAAATGTAAACTATACTCCCCCCTCCCCCCCCCCAACCAACCAATCTGGAACACTCTTGACCAAGCACGCAAATAGGAGTCCCCACTCTCCAAAAGCGACAACTCAAACAACACGCACCAGTTAAAGTAACATTTAGTCCCTCCTTCGGAACCTTCTTGATCAAGCAACCTCATGAAGTAACCACACTCTACTTGGATCCACATGTGGGTGTCCGAAACATCATACGTTAAAAAACACTTTTTAATTATTTTAAGAATAGGGTATTTGAAATCTACTCTTTCTTAGCCTCACACGCACCTGAACAGCGTGTGCCAAATCTCCTGAGCTTGCCGAATGCACGGGTTTACCATGTTCAGCGTGGCGAGCAGTTTCTTCTGACGTGAGATCTTGGCGAAATGCCAGGGCTGCGGTACCACGTCCAGTTCCTTCATCTCTTTGCTCAGGTGTTGCTCGGGCGGCTTCTCGCGGGGGTCTTTCAGCACGAAGTCCACTGCCGATTGAACATTGTTTGGTACATTAATTTGTTCCTTTGAGTAAAGAGAAGCACATAAACGCTATAACGGTTATTTGGTGTATAGAAACGGCAAGAATAACAGTCAGACACAAATGAAGGAGAGAAAAGAAAACCGACCTACTAGTGGCGCCCTACAACCACCACTGCCTGCCGCTTATATATAAAAGCACAGTACTGTCAGAAATTGTTTTAAAAGCTTGAAGAAAGACGAGACAAAATTTAGAGATGAAAATTTATCAAATGTTATACTCGGTTATCACGCTTTTAAATTTGTAGATGAAAGCGCTTCTCTAATCGGGGCCTGCACGTAGTGATATATCTGGTGCCAAGTGAAATACGGCAACACAATGAAACTTTTAGAATTCGCTGCTAGACATTTGTTAAATCTATTTTAGACAGTAAAAGTAAACGGTCAGCGAGCACACTGGTTTAAATAAGACAAATAACATAATTTATTTTAGTGAGGACAAGCGTAAAGATGAACATAGACACTTACACAAACATGCAAAGAATATTATACACAAACACTTACATAAACATGCAAAGAATATTATACACAGACACTAGCACAAACATGCAAAGAATAATAACACACAAACACTTACATAAACATGAACAGAAAGAATCACACAAACACGTGTATTAACATAAACATGAACGCACAGGCAAACACTTACATGGACGCAAACAAAAGTTATACACGAACACAAAGACACACACATATATATGTATGAAACAAATGAAATCCCAAACACAAAATGCCAAACACAAATTATTATGAATATGAATATGGTCATATAATACTATAGTATAATGACGATTATCTCTAGGCACTGCTTAACTTACAGATAGACTTCTTCGTGTTCAGAAGGTAATCATCTTTGATTTCGTCGATGAGCTTTTCAATCATAACTCCTCGCCCTTCCTGAAATGTAAGTATAAACTCCATCAACATTGGGACAACATTCTATGCAAGTCATAAAGAGAGTATCCATGCCGGTAAGTCGCTACCTTAGAATTACAGTTTGTTTTTTGTTTTCGTAAGTGTTTTACGGTGCTCACAACTGCATAAGGTCATATAAGCGCGCGGGACACATTAAACTTTTTCAGTTGGTAGGAAATTTTGAATTTTGCCCGGGTGGCGGCCGAAGTCTACTCTTATCGAATTTAGACCACCAAGGGATCTTTAATGTGTGCAACTTGCACACGGGCCCTCCGAGATTTTTCGCCCT